CAGGGACTCATGAGAAGACACCTTGGCTGTCTGCTGGGGCTGCAGTCATCTGAAGGCTTAACTGGGGCTGGAGGATCCATTTGTAAGATGGCTCACTCCCATGGTTGTTGCAGAAGGCTTCAGTCGCTGGCCACATGGGCCCCTCCACAGGACTGCCTGAGTGTCCTTACAACATGGCAGCTGGCTTACCCTAGACTGAGTGTTCCAACAGAGATCAGGGAGAAAGCCATAGGGACCTTTATGACCTAGTGTCCACAGTGGCACACTGTCACTTCTGCTATTTTTTTCTCCCTTTTATAATTGAGTCACTACAGACCACACTCAAGGAGAGAGTTTATCCAAAGGGCTCCTCAAGAGGCTCCATCTCTTAAAGGGAGGAATATCTAAACTAGCTTTTAGTATTATTGAACAATGTTTTTACAATCTCATTATTGCCCTTTGGTTTTTAAAATTCCACTTAATTTGGACTCATTTTATACTTTTTCTTGCATCTTGAGTCTACCACAGTATTAAGATAATCCTGGTTCTGTAACAATGAAATATTAGACTTTCACCTTGATCATGGAGAAATATTTGAATGGAAGTGAAATAACTTTTAAAAAAAAAAAAAAAAAAAAAAAAAAAAAAACTAGGCTGGACACTGGCTCATACCTGCAGTCCCAGCATTTTGGGAAGCCGAGGTAGGCGGATCACTTGAGATCCAGAGATCGAGAGTAGCCTGGGCAACATGGTGAAACCCTGTCTCTACAAAAAATACAAAAATTAGGCCAGTATGCTGTTGTGGGCCTGTGGTCCCAGCTTTTGGGAGGTTGAGGTGGGAAGATTGAGTTCGGGAGGTCGAGGCTGCAGTGAGCTGAGATTGTGCCGCTGCACTCCAGCCTGGGTGATAGAGTGAGACTTTGCCTCTAAAAAAAGAAAATATCTATACTCCTTAGAGCTGGTGTTTCTATAATAATAGGACTATGCACCAAAGAATACACCTTATTTTTCAATTTCTAAACTGATTGAATGGAGCTTTCTTGTTGTAACTCCTTATAGCATAACTAAAATATTTATTGATAGTATGGGTAATCCATAGGAAATCAAAGCAGTTTCTGTCTTTAAGGTGCTTAATGTAGAGATCTTTGACACTCTAATCAATGTTAATGTAGAATAAAAAGTGGTCATGCCTAGGGAAATACATATATATATATGTAAATATAATTCTTTTGCCCAGGCTGGACTGCAGTGGCACAATCTTGGCTCACTGCAATCTCTGCCTTCTAGGTTCAAGTAATTCTCCTGCCTCAGCCTCCCAAGTAACTGGGATTATAGGTGCCTGCCACCGTGCCCAGCTAATTTTGAATTTTTAGTAGAGATGGGGTTTCACGACGTTGGCTGGGCTAGCCTTGAACTCTTGACCTCAGGTGATCCACTAGCCTCAGCCTCCCAAAGTCCTGGGATTACAGGCATGAGCTACTGCGCCCAGCCCCTGCTATATTCTTAATATAGCAAATTAGTCCAAGACTGATCAGACTCTCAAGCATACTCTTCTGGCATTTGTAAAGTATCAAGTTATTTAAAAATATTTGGAAAAATTTTTTAAAATTGAAGAAAACAAGCAACTACCCTATCACACATAACATTAAGTTATACTAATTGCATGGATGACTCCCAGGCATCACACACTAAGACAGAACTTGGGAGGAGGTGGGATGGGAGCAGGTTTGGTAGCAGGAGAAAGGAAGAGCTCTGCTGAGGTATTTTAAGTGTGAGATGCTCATTAGACCTTAAAGTGGAGATGAGGACACAGCTGGATGTATGAATCTAGAACTTATGGGAGAGGTCTGGTCAGCAGAGATACATTTAAAGCTATGAGATGCCACCCAACTTTTGCTGAGCTTTTATTGCTTTCTTCCTGTTAAATTAAGTAGTTTGGCTTTGCAAGTTTAAGCTTCAGAAGTTCACCCATCCTATCCACATTTCTGTTTTCATGTTTAGGTAAATTTAGTAGAGGACTAGATAGATGGATTCTCCTGCCTCAGCCTCCTGAGTAGCTGGGATTACAGGTGCCCACCAACATGCCTACCTAATTTTTTATATTTTTTAGTAGAGATGGGGTTTCACTATGGTGGCCAGGCTGGTGTCAAACTCATGACCTCGTGATCCTCCCGCCTCGGCCTCCCAAAGTGCTGGGATTACAGCCATGAGTTACCACGCCTGAACATTTCCTCATTATTTTTAAACACTTGCCTGTCATGTCATTTCCCTAATTAAAAATCATTAACTTTAAAAAAAAAAAAAGGGAGGAATATCAAAGCATTTGTGAACATATTCTAAAATCACCACAAAGACATCCTAGGAATGGGATATAAAATGTATCCATCTTTACCACTATTCTAGGCATGTTTTAAAATTAATCATAGGAACATTGTATATGATATTATACATAAATAAAACGTGGACATCAAAGAATCATCACATTAGAGTCAACATAAAGATATGCTATGGGCTCTACAGTAAGATTCATTGGCTGAGGAATGAAGAAGATTGGGAGAAAAATAGACAAGCAGGATTTAGAAGTATAGAAATGTGTCATACTAGGGTTTAAATGCAATCCAGGAATTATGGAACTGGATCACCAAACTGAGTACCTGGGTTAACACGGGTGCTTGAATTTGATGATTGGTCTTCCTGCCCATCCCTTGGTGACCACCACACATTTATTTTGTGATGCAAAGACTTTATTAACTTCAGTTATTCAATACAATAAGGACACCAGTGGAATCATACTGTGTTAGAAGAGATCATCTCCCAAATTCTCCATTTTATAAATAAAGAAAATGAGACCCAGAGAGAGGAAAGAGTCGTATTCAAGATGTCAGGGCTAGCCTGATAGGAACAAAATGAGAAATCTTGAGAGAAGAGGACACACAGCGGTAAACCCACCTGGCATCCAGGGGCAGTCATCCCTGGGTATCTGTGGAGGACTGGTTCCAGAACTCTCACAGAAAGCAAAATCCTTGGAGGCTGCAGCCCCTTAAGTTGGCCCTCTTTATTCACAAGTTCTGTATCCCATCACCAGATAAGAAGGGCTGACTGGGGTAACAACAGAACAACACATGGATCCTCATTTTATCTATATGCATTAACATTATCCTGGGACTGTTCCATATGTCTAAGGCAACTTTCATGCCACATCTGCAGAGCTGAATGCATGTGATAGACTTTGTGGCCTGGAAGCCTGTAATATTCCCTATCTGGTCCTTTATAGAATAAGTTAATTGTATTATTGCTATACCAGAATAGCTTTCTTATTGTAGCTCACACTTCTGGTGATTACCAGATTTCTTTTTCTTTAAGTTTTTAAACCACCCTCCCTAGCCCTCTCCCCCCCCCCCCCCCCC